ATATATATATATATATATACATAGTTAAATGCAATCGTAGTCTTTCCCGCGGAGGTAAAGAACGTGCATTTGAAGCGTACACAAGCAGCCATAAATCATGCTAGCTCTCTGAGGTAAGTGAAACATTTCGCGAAACAATCTTACTCTGCTGCTGGAGCGAGTAATCGTTTTGTTAAATGCCGCTCGCAAATATTATTCACGGGTCAGTCGTGATTAAGAGATATAGGTCTTGTCAGGTGTGCTCACCGGGGAAAAATTGTAGCGAACATAATAGGAGGTAATAGAATGAAAGGATAGGTCCGTAGCGCGAGATCGGGTATAATTTTACGTCTCATTTGCCTGGTGAGAGGAGTGGTCACACGAGTGGACACACACTCGGACGATCGATAGATCGATAATATCGTGCTCGAATGAATCCCGTCGAGCGAAATTCCGTCTGGCTTGTGGTTCGGGCACCACCATCGGGAACAATGTGTATGGCATGGGTATGTTTATTACGAGTGTGACTGTGTAACACAAAAGACTCGCCATAAAACGACAAGGAACGTGTACGTTCGCTGGTTTGGTTGCAGGAGTTGAAGATAAAGGCTGGCGCCGAGAAGCTGAGGGAAGTGGCGACCGATCGTAAAGCGCTCTCCGACGTGGCGACGATCGTGAAAAAGTCGAATAGTAAGCTGAACGAATTGCAGGCCGAGCTTCAACAACTGGAAAGTCAAATTATATTGACGCAGGGCCAACCACAGTCGCCCCAGCAAAATCATTCGAACGGTCAAGGTAAGGCAAAGAGAAGTCGCACGGCTAACCGACAGATACCATCTTTGTAGTCACCTTAACGCTGCATGGCATTGACCGAGAGGATAAGGCAGACTCATGCGCGCCTAAACGGGTTTTATGTAATGCCGCGTGTTAGACTTCGTGCCGATCAATTACTGCTTCGGCCTGGCGGTTCGTGCGCGCGAATATGTTCAACTTCGTCGATACTGCAAACGAGTTCAAGGATTTTTCGAAATGACCGTGTGAAATCGGGATCCAGCGTAACGCCGTATCGTCGTTATTATTATCGAAACAGTCTCGATAAGCGATCCCATTATAATTACGCAATTATTCTCTAAAGCAGCCGAGTTGAAGCACGTTAACCACTTGCTTTCGCTTTTATTTTTATGGTCTCTCGTAAAACCGATTCGCGAACCACTTTTCCAAGTTCCTCTTCGAAATATCGATTAAGTTAGTTTCTATTTACTTGCGAATCGATACATCGAATTAATGGTGTGCTTCGGCCTCCTGTTACGCTACTGCTGCTCTCTCTCTCTCTCTCTCTTTCTCTCTCTGTATCGTTAACGAGCAACCATTTAATAACTATACCCGCTAACGAACCGTCGAGACGACGTCTTCGGTTTATAAAGCTCAACCGTGCATGTGAGTTGCTGTTTTATTACGGCATCCGTACTGGCAAATCGACCATGTCCAACTGCGTGCAGCCATAAACGTTTTGCTAAGCGATCGAGACATCGATAAAGACTGTCGTTGAAAAATCCAGTCAAACTTGGCTTTCGCTCTCGAACAGGCGAACTTGGCTTCCAATCGTAAAAAGTATATATCTTGATCGTGAATAAAATCCAATTTGCCCGCTTCACGCGTGATTTGCCTGTTTGCGCTATGAGTCATGCACTCTGGACTTTGGAACCGTTTGGGATCTACCGTCTGCGACTTTTTGAGAGATTACTCTTAACGGTTCGATCGCTGCACACACAGGACACGTTTGCAGCCGCGACGATACGTTATTCCGGAAACGGTACTCTTCTGGCATTTCCAGCCAGTGTGGCTGGTCATTTCCCTCGCTTAGAATACTCCGGCGTACTAGCTGTGCAGTCGTTGAACATAAATTAGGAACGATTAACTCCGATCCTCGTAATCAGGGGTCATGGTACTCTGAATAGTCACGGGCGTAACGTCGAATTTCAATATGCAATGTATCGAACTGTATAGCATAACGCTCTATTATCACGATCGATTTGCTTCGTAGGAATCCCATCATTACATAACCACGTGTACGCAGTATCGCTCGTGAGCCAGAGGTTGTTTTTCGTTGTTTCACCGAAGCAACTTTATCTTCGTAACAAGGAAAGAACGTTTCTTCATTCGTTCAATTAAATTTCAAATACCAAATCTATGCTCACTATTCTCGAACGAGTTAATCGTCGAAAACTCCAAGGTGCTACGTAATGTGCATATGAAGCTGTCAAAGGTTAACATGAAAGGGACGGTACTGGTATCTGGGTTCTCGAAATCGGTACTTTTCTCCGATCGGCCGACCTTGAAAGACTAGTTACGCCACTGGGTGGCACTTAGCTATCGGTGCCGCTTCGTGACGCGCCCGGGGCTTCGTACTCGTTCGCGACTAGCGAGCAACTCGAGTCTTGTGTTCTCTTTGAATTGACGGTAAGTGGTAGCATCTATTTATACCGTGGACCCAGACGCTCTATCCACTCCAGTTAAGTCAGTCATCATATATTCCGGGACTAGCAACCTGCCTCCGGGCCATTTCATTCAGTTTCTGCGAGACGGGTTTATACCATTCAGAGCAATCCTAACAATGCAACTGCCAACCTCTAGCTAGGCTACCGTGTGTCGTTATAAGACAGAGAAATAATTGGAAATAATTCGATCCCTTAAAACGGCCCGTTATTCTGCTTTGATTAATTATACGGCTGCTTTATACGTTTTACACTTCTGACATCTCAGCGTGACGTTAATATTACGATAGATGAAAATGTTGAGACAACTTCTCATAAGCAGCTCGTAAAAATCAGCTTTGTGCTCGTTACGTGGATCTATTCTTCAGGCTATGTCAAAATTGATAATTCGAAACAGTATCATCTGCATTAACAACCATTGACTCGTCAATACACATCCCGAGACGTTTCTCGAAACCTCGTATCTTTTAAAGGCACCATTCTTTCCTCGTCCTTTTTCTTCCATGCCACCATTGCCACTATTGTGTCTCGAGGAGATAACAAGGAGAGCATACGAACTTAGAATAAGATATTCGCGGATGAGACGAATTCATGCCACCGATTCAGGAGAAAGTACATATTCCCTCCTTTCCTCCGGCGATTGGACGCCGCGAGGGAAGCAACGTAACGAGCACCAAGGCTCTCTCGTTCACTTTCCAGTTCTTCGAGTTCTGGCTACGTGCGTGTAATGCGCGTTCTCCTCGCGGGAGAGGTGAAAACGCTTTTATACGATATACGATACAGTGAAAACGCTTTTATACACCGATACACCTATACACATACGTTCACGTGCGTGATGCATTGAACAACATATTACGAGAGGCGATCGAGTGAGATCGGTCGAGTGAGATCGCTCGCGCCGAGTACCGTTGCGCGCGTATTTAGCCCGCGGCCCTTGCCCGCTTCTCGATGTGGATCGAGATCGCGTTTCAGCCGAACCGAGGCGAACCCACGCTTTCGCATTCCACGCTGTCGTATATCAAGGAGGCCCTCGGGCCCACTCTCTGCTCCCTTATCCCCTTTTTAGGGACTACCTGCTTCCTCCCGACTCTCGAGACTCTCTGGACTGGACGTCGACGCAAAATTACGCGACACTTTGGCCGTCGAATATCTTTAGAAACTTTTTTAGAAATAACCGATGGAGGTATATCGCGACACGCATGAATTGTACTCGGTCACGTCGATCTTTTTCCATCTCCTCCTCCTCCTCCTTCTCCTCGAAAATTACGATCATTTCGTTGTTCAGCGTATATTTATCAAAATGACGGTCAATTCAGCAGTTTCCTTTCTTCCTGTCCGCGCCGCATCACGCACGGGCTGCCTCGTACCTACTCGAGGAGAAACACAACTTTTCGATCGATCATTTCAACGAAACGCTCTCTCTGGCACGGACCGAAATGGCAGATCAAGGTCTGTTTTACGTGGTATGAAATAATACACGAGGCGTGCAATTTGTACCGTGAGAAGTAATTGGTGCAACGATCCTCGAGCCGAGTTTGTAAATTTCACTCCTCGAATCATTGTTGCCGATCGTGGCCGGAGATACATCGGCATATCGGCACGTGAAGTAATGGCGTGTAAAAGGTTGTCGTTTTATCGTTGTAACCGTAACGCCTCTTTCTCGGCCGAGCTGTTATCGTTTCTCGCGCGACATTTGCACGGGTACGCGTACCGCTTCTAAATAAACGGAACGCGTTACATAATTCCCGCGTTCCGTAACGCAAATCACGTTATATATGCCCGCGTATACGCGGGGCCCGAGTCCGGATTCCGGACGATCTCGATGACGCGTTCGTTCGTTCGTTCGTGATTCATCCGATTCGGTCAGAAAATTTCTCTCTCTCTCTCGCGAGAACTTCGTAGCGTGCTTGCGAAAAATTCGTAGCCATAGAGCCACGCTCTGTTATCCTTTCACCGGGTGGCTACTAAACTCAGGCCAGCGCGAACTTTACTGCACGCGGAGTTGGTTTTATGCGCGTTTCGAGCCTCGACGTTTGCATTTGCCGGCATAACGCATCACCCTATTTTTGCCTCGCGCCTCATCACCGTTCGAGCGCAGGAAGTTGCGCAATTTTTCCAAAATAAAGAGTGATAGCCTCGAGTGCTACATCTCGTCAAACGCGCGTGTAATGTACGTACAATGTTCAATCGAATGAAGAGTTTGTTTAACGTACTTGCCTTCTTTTCCTGGCACTCCGTTTTCCTACGATATCTATGATTAAAATGTTCAAACGTTCCCGGTATGTCTGTATCGTCGTTGCCTGATAAAA